AACCTCTCACAATGGTCGGCCTGTGGATGTGTTGCAGAAAGTGTGTTACAGCTCAGTTGTGACAGCAATCTGGATCCGGGCAAGAGACCAGGCAGCGCCCTGAGAGTTGGAGAACTCAGGTTTATTATACCACCAGACCCAGAGGAGTTAACACTCCAAGCGCTGGACACCATTTGCAGGTTTATACAGGCTTTTATAGGCTGCAAGTTTACACTTTCCAACATCATATGCAAATAAGGTATAACAAAAGTTGACTAATTAGGAACAAGCTTTGTAGAAACGGACCAATCAGGAGGGAGAGATAACCAATCAGGAGTGAGCTCCATGCAAATGAAGTACTACAAATAGACCAATCAGGAGTTAGCTCAGGGAACCAATAGAATTTTAGGGGTAAGTTCCACTTTCCTAGAAGTAAGCTGTTTCAGAGGCAAAGAGTGAGATAACGCCGCTGGGCCAGGGAACTGGATGGTGCGGGCAGGAGGGTAGTGGCCCTGCCTGGGGGTCTTGCCAGTCTTTTTTTATGGGGCTTCCCACCTCAGGTGAGACTCTGAGATCTCTTCTCCTTTAGGTGATAAATTTTTTTATAAAGTGTGCATATTTGCTTATATAATTCTAATATTAAAATCATAAATGTTATCTTTTAATCTCTTATCTATGGAGTAATTAAAGTACATTATTTTCTTTTTAAATGTTTTTTACTACAAGGGCAATAAATGTAAAATAGTGAATTCTGAAAGAATTAAGAATTAAATAAAGAACAAAGTCTCCCGCCTGGAAGGAGGGCCCTAGCAGGTGGTGTCCAGGTCCCCTCCTCCTCCTCTGTGGTTGCCCGTGAGCCCTTGTGGGTGTCGGGCGGGGAGGATTCCTGGATGTGTGCTGTTCTGGAACCTGGTTTCCCCAGGTGGACAGTGGCCAGTCCATCCTCTTCCTTCTTTGCATTTTCTGTGGCACTGACTCAGAATTTCCCAAGAGCTCCTCCTGTGAATATAGAATTCATTTCCGATTTTCACTCCCATCACCGTGCTGAAGAGAATTTCTGTGCCCCTGAATCTGTGTTGAGAACAGATCCCTGGAAGTGGAGGGGGCCCAGGGAACCCCTCTGCAGCGTTTTGGAAACATCGTCTTTCTTGGAGAGCTGGGTCTTTCTGGCTAGGATTTTGCTCCCTCCAGGCTGTGGGCGGTTGGGAGGGGAGGGAGCCTTCCTTCCGCAAACCAGTTCAGCCTGTCCCCACGAAACCAGGCCCCATTGCTCTTCTGTCGTTTTGTCTGTGTTGGCTTCCAAGGCGGGGGACACAGCACCTGCCCAGGGACGGGGCACTGCTGGGGACGTTCTCGGCTAAGTGGCCACAGGGGCTGTCCAGCCTTTGGCCCAAATGGCTGGCCCCAGGAGGCAGGTCTGGGACTCCCCACTCTGCCCCCATCACAGAGAATCCTGTAGGATTCTCACGGAGGTGGGGTGGGGGGCTCGTTAGCCACAGCTTGCCCTGAGGTGTGGTCTGCATCTCCCAAGTCAGCAGCAACTTGTTAGCTCATGAGAAGTCCCAGGGGACTAAAGAATTCATGGTGGGTCCTTCCTGACTGCACTTCAGAAGCTTCCATGTGAAAAAGGAAGCAAAGCGTGGCTCCCCAGTGTGCCCTGGCAGCCCCTGCCTCAGCAGGTAGCATCTAGGGGACCCCTCCTGAGCAGTGAAGGCAGAGCTCCCTACAGGAGAGCGTCCCGAGGGGCTCAGAGGAAAGGTGTCCCTGGGGCAGAGGCTCCAGGGGGACTGGGGCAGGCAGGAGCAGCTCGACCAGGGATCCCCAGAGAGTGGCAGGCTTTTCTGCAAGGAATAAAGAGCAGGCCAAACTTCAGGGACGCTCAGGTTGGAGACAGTAAGTACAGGGACACTGTAGGTGCCTAAGTGCCTGGCACTGTTCTAAGTGCTTCATCTAACTAAGTTGACAGAGGAAGTCCTGCCACCCACGGGAGGTAGGTCTCACCCTGCAGTTGGAGGACCCAGTGTTACGGAGTCCAAACTCGTGCTGCTCACCGCACGACAGGCCAATAAACCAGGAGACGAGGCGTTGGGGCAAGGAATAATGACTTTATTAGGAAATCCGGCAGACCAAGAAGATGGCAGACTAACGTCCTGGAGAACCATCTTCTCCAAGTCAGAATTCAGGCTCCTTTTATTCTGAAAAGGGGAGGGAGTGTGGTTGGTTGTTGCAGACTTCTTGGTGTTGGAATCCTTTGTTCTTGCAGCCAGCCACCTAGGTCAGATCATGGTGTTCCTGTAAACCTCCAACAAGACAAATGTTATTTCTATTCTGCAACTTATCTTTGTACGAATGGTGTTGTACCCTTAAAGGTCAGAGCCTTGAGAATGGGCTGTCCTGTGTA